ATAAAGGATTTTTTAGTGAAGTGAGTAGGCAAGAATTTTTCACTTTGTTAACTCAAGAAAAATGGGAGGAGTCTTTGAAGCACATCAGAACGATGTTAATCAGCAATGGTATGTTTTCGTGCAAACTTTTCTATCAATCTTTAACGAGAACTTTCCAAAAAAATTAGTCAGTATGGGTCAAAGGCGGAAAAACAAGCCATTGTATCATAAAAATGAACGAATACAAAAAATAGATTAGATATTCTTTTAATGCTAAAACGCAAAAGTAACAACTTTAATGAATCTTACTCCATTGTAAAAAAGGAATACGATCAATTACTAATAAAAGCTAGATCTGATAGTAAAAAAAGAATAAATAATTCAGAGAATAAAAATAAATTTATGTGGTCCATCTTTAAAGAAGTAACTGGAAACAACTCACAGGTGAATGACACAATTATCGCTGGAAATCCTACAGAAATTGCAAACAGTTACAATACATTTTTACTTAATGCAATTCCAGAGTTACAGAAGAAAATTCAGCATGTAAATTTCAAAATCAATATTCAAGAAAATGATAGATCTCTATTTTCAAAACCTGTTAATCCCAAAGAAATTTTAGAACTAACAAAAAAAATAAAAAACAAACATAGCTCTGGTGACGATGAAGTACCTACAAGTCTCATCCGTCGGATTATTCCAGCGATCTTAGACGTCTTGTGTTGCATAGTAAATAATTCACTTAGATAGGGCGTTTTTCCTGAGAGTCTAAAACTAGCAGCAGTTAGGCCTATGTATAAGAATAAGGGAGATAAAAACTCGTTTGACAACTATAGACCTATAAGTCTGCTTTCTGGATTGTCAAAGCTGTTTGAAATTGTCGTGTGCACAAGAATAATGGACTTTATGAATGATTGTAATGTATTTTCTGATAATCAATGGCTTCTTGGCGAAAAAATCCACACAAACGGCCATTTTTCAATTTACGCACGCAATTCTAAAGCACCTTGAAGATGGGGACATGACTCTTGGAATATTTCTAGATTTGTCAAAAACGTTCGATTGCTTGGACAGAAGGTTACTTCTCCAGAAATTAAATCTATACGGGATGAGGGGACGTGCTTTTAAGTGGATTGACTCTTATCTGAATAAGAGAACTCAGAGAGTCACGATATGTAGAAATGAGAACATATACAAGTCGGAAATCGCGCCGAATACGGTGGGTGTCCCTCAGGGAAGTATACTTGCACCATATCTGTTTATTATTTATTTAAATGACATAAACTTTTATGAAACAAAATACAAATTCTTTTAATTTGACTCAATATGCTGATGACACAAATTTACTTGTTGGAGCACCATCTATTCCAGAGATCTGTCAAAATGCAAATCACTTTTTTGTTTTAGTAAATCATTGGTTTGAAAAAAATAAATTATTACTAAATAAAGATAAAACTAATACCATTCTACTATTCAGAACAAAATTAAATAAGACTTAAAAACCCGAATCAATTACGATGGGTGAAATTTCTGGGTATTTATGTAGATGAATTTCTAGACTGGTCTAGTCATGTCGAATATTTAAAAGGTAAATTGAACAAAGTTTGTTACTGTATTCGTATTGTGGCAAGGTATTTGGATGAACCTGCAAAAAGAACTCTGTATTTTGCAAACTTTGAGTGAACAGCTAGGTACGGCATAATCTACTGGGCAGGGAACTCTGGGGTGAAGGACATTTTTACTGTTCAAAAAAGGGTGATTCGAACTATCTACAAAATGCCTCCTCTACAATCCTGTCGAGGTATTTTCAGATCTAAAATTTTTTAAACTATTTTCGCCTTATACAGGGTGTCCCAGAATATGTGGGCAATCTCTCGGATTCAGATAGAACTCGAAAAAATAACATGACAACTTCATATAAAAAAAAATTCCTACGACCCCCCCTACGAAGTTACGTGCCCCTAAAGGACGCCTCTGCAAATCGGTTTTTTGTTGATAACTTTCAAAATACTTGTGTAATTTTTTTTCTTTTAATATGATGGATACTAGGTGAGACCCCCTAAAATGGACCCTCTCAAACACACTCGACCAATCTGGTTTGCCAGGGACGGACTAGCTTTAACGCAATAATAAAACTGAGGATATATTAGTAGAAAGGATTAATTTTCACTTTCGCGAAATAAGGGCTAATATTGTATTGTCGAGAGTCGAAAAATATTTTATTAAAATAGGTATGGAATGCATAAGATTAGAAGGATCTCATGTTGAGTCTACATAAAAAATTATTTAATAAAAAACCATTAATACACAAAAACAGATTTTTCTCGAAACCAGCTAATTTTTTTGACATCGAATAAGAGTACCTTTTTTTTAGTTCAAGGTTGAAACAATCTAAAAATATTATTGCTATGCCTATATCATACAGGGTGTAAAAAAAATTAGCATTATTGTGTTGAAGCTAGTCCGTCCCTGGCAAACTAGATTGGCCAAGTGTGTTTGAAAGGGTCCATTTTAAGAGGTCTTACCTAGTATCCATCATATTAAAAGAAAAACAAATTACACGAAGTATTTTGAAAGTTCTCAACAAAAAACCGATTTTCAGAGGCGTCCTTTAGGGGCACGTAACTTCGTAGGGGGTGCCGTAGGAATTTTTTTTTATAGGAAGTTGTCATGTTATTTTTTTGTGTTCTATCTGAATCCGAGAGATTGCCCACATATTCAGGGACACCCTGTATATATTTGAAACTATTGTGTTTGTATTTAAAAATAAAGATATCTCCAATGCTCTAGGTCATAATACCCGCACTAACAATATCAATTTCCCTTAACATAGGCTGACATTGTCAGAGAAGCATCCATACTATATGGGTATAAGACTTCTCAACAAGTTAGATCAAAGTACAAAAACTATAACTACAGAAAGGATCTTCAAAAGAAAGCTGAAGGCCGTCTTAATCAACTTGGAGCCATATAGTATGGATGACTACTTACGTAGATAATATTAAGTAGTGAATAGGTTAAAAATGTCTAGCTGTTAATAAGTCATTGGTTCCAGATAATTTACTAATATTTTGTTAAGAAGCTACCACCTGGTATTTTTGTAGTAGTAAGTGGTAAATAATTAATGACGATATTTCACTTCATATTTAGTATATTTTTTTTATATATAATGTAATGTGAAATAAATATAAATAAAAAAAAAATCTAAGTGGAGCTTCGAATGTGACTTTTGTTTCTGCAAAAGTCACTTACAAAGCTTCACTTAGATTTAATATTCCTGAAGTTGTAGCGGTGCAAATAGCAGTAAGAGCCGGAATTTCAATGTCACTTTAAGGTACAGAATAACGAAGAGCGAATCTTGATCTTGACGCCATCTAGGACTGATAATCAACACTACACGCAATTTTGCTGTGCTAAATGGTGAACGTCCAAAGGCCGACCAAAATTCAGTTCGTTTGGGTTTAACCCAAAAGTACCACTGTTTGAGAAAAGTTTTTTGGATTGATTTTCTCCGCTTTTTCCATCCATAGACGCGTTTCGACCTATATCAGGTCTCATCAGTATGGCTAGGAATATGATATAGGTCGAAACGCGTCTATGGATGGAAAAAGCGGAGAAAATCAATCCAAAAAACTTTTCTCGTACAGAATAACGTTAAGTCGTCCCTAATACACGTTTCACCGTATATCAAAGTTTCCTCAATTCAAGGTGGCTCTTAAGCCACCTGAATAAACCTTAACGTTAAAAGTACCTACCTTAGGTAAGTCTTGATTTCAAGGTAACATTGGCATGTGTTTGTTAATATCACATCAACTGAACTCAGAAAAAAAAATTGAATTTTTTTTACAAAATTCCGTTTTTTTTTCGTATTTCTCCGGAATATTCGGGATTTGTTAATTTTCAAACCGCCATTTTATTGACCATAAAATTTCCCGACTTTGCCCTAATTTAACCGACCTCGCGGACCTCGTATCTTTTATAATAACCGAGATCCCTCTGGTTAGAAAGATAGACACACTGTATATTTTTGTATAACCCTGTATAATATGTTCTAAAGTATGTTTCCACATGCGCCATAACTGTAGTGTTTGTTTCGAAAAGAAATAATGACGTCAAAAGCTATATTTCACATAAAATTGCATAACTCATGATAAAATCGTAGTGGGCTGCGAAATTCAAAAAATCTCAAAAATGTCCCGAGGTACTAAGGTACTCTTCTAAACTGAATACCAAAAATCTACTTAACCCGCCGTATAGCAGAATGGGGTGAACCCAAACTTTCGCAAAAAATCCTCAACTTATGTTTTACCCTGTATCTTTTACCAGGTGGCCGGAAATCTGTTAATAACTGGAAATTAAATAGCAATTAGAGCAGCCTTTCACTCCTGAAAATGTTAAGAAAATCGGCCTGCTAGATTTTGAGCTATAGTCTCACAAAAAGTGACCAAAAATTGGGGTGTTCGAGTTCGATTGATGCGTAGTTTATATACACATTGAGGGTGAGAAAATAATTTCAAGTTTTCCGATTAGAGCGAGGAGAATTAACGGTTTTCGAATAATTGAATTCAAATACATTGAAAAAAGTTCAATTCTAACTAACTTGACTCATAGTGCTTTGAGACCAGATTGATAAAAACTTTTCAAGGGATTTGGGGTAGGCTGGATCCAATTATGTACTTACAAAATCCTTGATGGCCTCGGGAAGTGCAAAATACTCCTTGTTCAAATTTCCTCAGAATATATTTTTGAAAAGAACCTACTTTTTTATTTGACTCCTACAAGGTCTGGAAAATAAACCCTATCTAATTCTCATAAGTTTGATACAAATGGCCGAGCAAATGGCTTTTGGGATGAAACTTTTCAAACATTCTGACCCATAGCTCGCTGAAATTTATAGCAATACCGTTTTGAAAATTCCTTAGCAGATTGATAAAAACGGGCATTCTTGGGGTACTGGGCTTCTTTTAATCCAACTATGGTATATTCTGGGTTTAACCAAAACACATTGACATCTATTTTAGAAACTTACTAATGGCTTAACTAAAACTAGGATACAAAATACCAAGAATAATGATCAAACCAAGCTGCATTTTAATAATGAGGAAAATAATTTGATATTAAGTATTGGCAAGAAGGAGTTTAGCCATAAGGACCATGAGAGAGTGTTCCTAGATTTTGAATGGGTGAGAGTAATCTATCAATTTTTTATACATATGTAGTTACTAACCTATTTGTTGTGATCTTAGTTAAAAAAATATGATAAAGAACCTGAAGCTTTTTCGAATATCCTATCGGAATATCCAATAAATTTCATACCTTCCTATCCATTTGAAGAGAAAATAACCAAAGGAACCAGCTATATGCCCACCCGTTGTCCAGCATGGTGCGACAGAGTTTTATTTAGTCATACAGCACAGAAAATTATTGATGAGGGGCATAATCATGAATACGGACTTTTGGGCGTCAAAACTTGTATGGGAGATCACAAGGTAGGTTTTTTCAGTCGGGGAAATATTATTATCATCATAATGCTTGATTTATAAACTTGAAGTCGAGACACGATTGATTTTAAATTAAGGTTAACCGCGCGAAAAATTACTCTGTAGCCTTGACTTTGTTCAAAACTCTCACCAACTTCAGTTTAACAATGCTTCTTGCATGACATATTGAAGGGAATGGAAAGCTCGACACTCGACTTCTGGTTTATGAATTGTACTTAATACATGTTGCTTAACTTTTTTTCTGTGATAAGTTGATAGAGCTACTCCTCTAAAATTGTCTTTCCTGATCATTAACCTGTCTACCAAATTTTATCAAAATTGGAAAACGGTTTTGAAATATTCCTTTTTTTTTTAAATAACATTTTCGCTGAGAGGGCATAACTGGATGAGACCTACTTATTGACATGGATTTGTAGCCCCAGTGATCAATTTCGATAGCTGCTCAGTTTGTCCCTCTCAATAGTCTCAATGGCAATCTGAGGGTCTGTTGAAGGGCTCTGAAGAAAAAGGAACTTACATAAAAAAAAAAAAACATTGGCTTTGGATGAAAACATAAATCTATTAAAAAAGTTTTTTTCCGGGCTATAATGCCGTGGTCTAGTAATATTTCTGTCTAACGCCACAACGCATCTTCAGAGTCGGTGTGGTAGACGAAGTGTTCTCTTCCGTGTTCCTCCGATGACGATCATTTCTGTCATGGTAGTTGCAATAACTGAAGCCAGCATTCGAAATAAGGAAATACCTTATAAAGTTTTGTTGTAACTGGTTAGGATTTTCAAAATCTGTCCAATACGTTATCGATTTTTTTTTAGTAGTAGGTAATTCAACACTTCTCTATAAAATGTTCTATACAATATTTATTGAAAGGTAGTCTTGTTTCTTCAAATAAAATGGACAAAATAAATTTATAATCATCCTGATTTCTGCTTGTGAAAAACAATAATTCATAGTATTTTTTCATGCACAAATAGTACAGGAACTGGCAGGTTTTTCGGTAAACGATATTTATCAAAATTTTCATTAATAAATCATGATTATGAGTAACCTGGATATACCAAAACTGACCGTCTGCCGTTTCAGGGTGGTAGCTTTAATCGGGGGTTAAATTTTAAAAAGGGATGATCTTCCATTCTGGTAAACGATATCTATCATGACCGAAATTTTCGGAAACGATTCAACAGTTTGAGGACTTATCAAAATTACACAGGCAGACAATTTGTTTGACAGCATAACTTCGGCAGACGCCTGTTAAATTTGTAATTTTTAATAATACAGTGAACGGCATTTATCAATTTTTTTTTTTGCAAATCGATTCCTCGATATTATCCATTTGCTAAAAGTGAGATGAATATAATTTCTTTCAATAAAAATACAAATTACTGCCAAATGCGAAATAAGAAATCATACTTTGAAATATAGATCGATCATCGGGCACTAGATGGCAGTACTAAAAAATCACTTCTTGATACTTGCACTTTACGCAAATGTAGATAGATGGCAGCACTTGTATTACTTGAATTTAATGGATATTTTTAGAATATTAGAAATTATCTTGAATTCTGAAATGGAAAAAATACTACTTTATAATGTAAATAAGAAGAGATGGAACATGTTACGTAAATGATAAATTTATCGTAACATACTACCCACCAAATCCTCTCCCAGTTCACTGTCAATGTCGTTGTTCTTGAATCTTTTGCCTTTGTCGTTTTTCTGACATGTCACACAATTTAGTTTTCCACATTCTGTTGATGTGTGCTGTGGACCTCAGGTTTAATTCATTGCACTTAAGCTTTTCCATTTTGTCCAATTCAGCTGCCAAAAAGTAGTTGGTTGTGTAGTTCAACAGCAACGGCAATGGCAGCTGAAGGTTAAGCAGCTTCCCCCTTCTGATCATGGGGCTCCCCTATCTAAGCGACGGGGTCGCAAGTCCACCGTTCTCTGTGCTGCCATGTATAAATGCAGTGAGGGTGTCGTGTGGTAGGTGGAGCCATTTCCTGATGCATGATCTAATGAGCCAATCCGCTTTCAGAAGGCAGCCCATCATTACGTTGCCTAGTGCCAGTTTGTGGAAGAGTTTTGGAATCACATAAACTCTTAAGGCATGAAGTCTGTTGTGGCTTAAGTAGGGCTGTCGATAGCCTATCAAGGAGTAAGCTTATGTCTGGGCTTGGATAGTACTTAACAAGTCCGGTTGGGCTGAAGTCGATGCCAATATACTTCTAGCTGTCCACCCTGGTGAGGTGGGGCATGTACCTAATGCCCACTTTAAACTGTCTCTCTTCCACTTTAGTGTCTTTCTGCTTCGGCTGCCCTTTGATGCTAACGGAGATGCATTTAGCTGGGTCTAGAAGCAACCCGCATGACTCCAGATAGTCCGTTGTGATATTAAGCAAGTCTTGGAGTCCAGCCGAAGTAGATGCCATCAGAATAAGATCGTATGCGAAGGCGAGGACATTAATCTTAGTAGTGTCGATTGTAGCCCTGGTTTCTTTGGGGAGCTTCCTGAGTAACCTATCTATAATCATGTTAAACAGCAGAGGGAATAGCGGGTTTCCCTTGCTTGACACCTCTTTTAGGCTTGATAGGTTCTGATGTGCAGCCCTTGCCTCTGATGTGGGTGGAAGAGTCGCAGTAGTACTGTTGTCTTAGATACTCACCTGCAGGCTGCGGCAAGCCAAAAGACCGAAGGGTCCCGAAGATGGCCTCACTCATGCGATACACGGTCGAAGGCTTTACCCACGTCCAAAGAAGTCATGTAGCATAAAGAGTACTTTCTAGGTTGGTCCCTGAGAATTAGGTCCAGCAGGATTGTGTTGTCCGTTCATCCATCAGAAGGGATAAAAGCTCTTTGTCTTGGGTCTAACTTGATTGCTTTGTTAAACCGACTCGCCAAGATGGAATGTGGCTGTCTTGCTATGACCGCCGATGGTACAGTAAGTGGTCTAAAGTCCCCAGGCTCATTGGAATTGGCCTTCTTGGGAATATAGTTCGTTGTTGCCTTTCTTTACTCCAAAGGGGGAGGCTGCCAGAGAATGATGTTCAGAATTCTCACTTTAATTGGGATTGGGGTGGCGTTTAGCTGCCTTGGGGTGATTTCATCTGGCCCACGGGCCTATTGTATTGGAATCTTGGCTTTATCAATTTCCTCTGGGGTGATCGGCGCCCATACGTTCTCCACACCCTGCTGGATTACCTCATCCGGGGGTGCTACGTTGGTTCTCGACTCATAACGTTTTGCCAGAAGGGCTCCATTATCTCCTTCCCTGCCATCCTCGCCTCACTTGGACCGTCTAAAATCGATTTAACACATCTAAGTTGATGCTATCGCCAGTTAATTTGGGTGGTTGCCTATTTATTCCGTCTTCTCCTCCTCTTCAAGAGGTTTGTGTATTGGTTGTATAGCCGTATTGTTTGGTCTGTAGGATCTAACTGGGAACATCTTGCTTAGTGGTAGAGTAAGGTCCGCCAGCGTTTCTACCTCTGCCCAGAGCCTGTTCTATTATGTCTGGTAATTCACCATATTAGTTAGGTTAGGAAAAATCGGGCGCGAAATTTAAAATGGGTTCCTAAACACATTTCAACAAATTTGACAGCAATGTATTTCTTATGGGGGATTCAAAAGAGTGATTTTCAGACGGGAATATCTTGGGTTCTGGGCATTTCTCAGTATTGGAACCTATTATACGTCAAACTTTGAATATATTTCTCTATAATTCATGCTCTAATTGTTTTTTTAGACCTATGAATTAAAAATACAAATGATTTTAATTAAAAGTGTCTGTTTTCGGTGGACGTACGTCGGGTCTAAAACCAGCTGTAAGAAAGTGAGGCTGTGTGTTGTGTTATGATTGTTGGTGAATTGTTTATTTATTTATTTATCACTAGTTCAGTCATTTGTTTTTCCATTTTTTTGGATTATTGGAGTACATTTACTAACCAAGTATTTAGGTACACTTTTATTTTATTATAATTATAGGTACTCATATATACTTATGAATCAAGCAACGACATACGTATTTTATACAAACATCGGCTTCTTAAATTGGTAATATTTTTATTTTAACAATGTTTATTCAACTTTCAAACACTCTCTCAGTTAATTAACATATTAAAAAAACTATTTATACAACTCAATTCCCTAACAAACGTTCTATCACGTCTACAGACGCTTTTAAAATTGAGTCCCCATAAGACATCAATGTATTAATTTTTGAACTAGGAACCCGCGCCAATTTGCGATTCTAACCTAACTAATATGATGAATTCGTGGCTGTAGTAAAAGTTGTTTGCTGGTCTTGTCAGACCCAGCAGGTATCTGATGAACGTTAGTAAAAGAATTGAAAATTACAAATTTGACAGGCGTCTGCCAAAGTTATGTGGTCAAACAAATCGTCTGCCTGTGTAATTTTGATAAGTCCTCAAACTATTAATTCGTTTCCGAAAATTTTGGTCATGATAAATATCGTTCACCAAAATTAAAATTCGTTCCTTTTTAAAATTTAACCCCTGATTAAAGCTGCCACCCTAAAACGGCAGACGGTCAATTTTGGTATGTCCAGGTAACTTACAATCATGATTTATCAATAAAAATTTTGATAAATATATCGTGTACCGAAAAACCTGCCAGCTCCTATACTAAAACATTTAGTTCTTACCACTATAATCTTATTTTTCTCCATCACACATTGTCACTAAAACTGCTAATAAATACTAATTGTTGCAGCCAGTGTTCTTGAGGATATCCCTTCGTGCAAATGCAGGTATAGTTAAATGTTGTGACCATGCGTTGTTCGTTTGCTTGCCTGTCACGTGCTGTTGCTGTCGCAATTTCGCTTCTGTCACTATAAATGTGGTCGACATGAGCATTAACAGCAACGTGAGCCGCTCTTTAACAGATGCAAATTCAATCGATTCAAGTTTACTGCATGATCGTAGTGCGACAAAAGGCATGTTGTCGCACGACCCTTACACTCCTGAAAGTTCGAACTCGCGCACACCTCAACCGGAAGAAGTCGATGGAGAGGAGGTGGATGAGGAGAGCTGGAGAAGCACTGTATCACCAAACGAACTGAAAAGTAAATTGGAGAATATTATTTGTAAAAAGTCTTTCCCATTGATCAAGCAATCATCTTTGGAAGACGAGTATTTAGATTTGGAGTTGTTGACTACTATTAGGATAGATGAGGCTAGAGGGCGTTTTAGTAGCTCGAGTGGTGATAGTAAGAGTTTTAATAAAGATATCGATCGAATATCCAAGCGTGGTAATAGGAAAAAAAATAAGCGAAGGTTTTTGAAGTGTTGTTCACTCGCATGATTTTATATGTACTTAGTTTTTTTTGTTGACAATATTTAGAACGTGTTTCAAAAACCAAATTTCCTTTCCAACTCATCCACATGATCACTAGCTAATTAATTTTTGTCGCACGTTTTAAAATTGTTTTATTTGTATATATAGGCCTTAACATAGATAGTATTTAGCTTGGGTGGAAAAGGAAAGGTTCTTTATCAATAACATAATAGACATTTTCACCTCAAATGAATTTCATATTTCTATTATTTTTAATCAGTTGTACGGATCAAAATAAAAATACCCTTAGTTGGCCTTGAAAATTCATCTTTTGGTAATAAATAATTTTTACAAAGTACTGTTTTTGTACCAGATATTTGAACATAGTAAATAGTGTCAGTCTGTGACGTACACTTCTGCATCGACCTATAAGGATAGTTCACAATGAATTTGACCAAATTTGACGCACATTTCTCTTGCGTTCCTTGTTTAAGCTCTGAAGAGTGAAAATGACGACATTCGTTGTACGTATTTCCACGTCATTCCTTTAATTTTTTCAAAACAACCACCTCTTGTTGGTTTTCTTCAGTTTTTGGTTGGTGTAGAAGCTGACGTCATATTCGGCGAGAGTTTTGAGGTTTCAAATTCTGCATCAAAAATAGGAACTTATAGTACAAGAGCCAGTGAAAAAAAATCCGGCTCATTTTATTATGGCTGAAAAATTTAGGAAATGTAGAATCAATCATGAACAATACGAAATCGCGTGCCTGCCTGCTCGTATCGGTTGCGTTTATTAATAAAAAAATGTTTAACGAGGTTTTGTAAAAGCAAAAACCGACTCATCGCGTTTTGCATGAAAATTTGTGTGAACATAGAACAAACACCCCCAAGTATGATTTCGAATGCCTGTCTACCTAAATCAGTTGCCAAATAGCGCCTGTCAAATAAAAATCGACTGAAATTTTTCTCAAAATTCGACTCATCGCGTTTCGAGTGAAAATTAAATATATCACAGTTAAGGGCATTACAAGAACATTTATGACTGCCTGCCCGATCAAAGCCGTTGCTTTCTAATGCCTGCCTGGTCCCAAAGATCGCAAAGTATAATAATATACCAGGTGGAATACTCAAATTCACAAAATAAAAACACATAGACCGTGCCGACCTAGAGATGCACAAATAACAATGATTTCGTTGCAATGTTGCCAGGCTTTTTTGACGACTTCCGTTCAACTGAGTGACAAAAATCCTTCAAAATCCTTCAAAACAGTGGCGGTTGGCCGGCACCACCAACTATTGACAATTTCGAAAATGAATGAAGATCTGGACGTCATTTGGGGATAAATTCTGCACTCGATTTATTAATTTGTTGTTGTTTCTTTTGGTAAATACTAATAGAAACAATCCAAAACAAGTCTGTTATTTTTATATAAACATTGTTCATGTTCAAAATAACTCGATTCCAGTGGCTGAAAAATCTGTATCATAATGAAGTTCATTATGAAACAGATGTTATAGACTTTATAATTTAAGTAATTAATGAAATTTAATTTCGGTGATAAAGGTTGATCTATTTATGAAAATTACAATAAGCTTTTTCAAGAGAAAAGAAAGAAAGTCTTTATATTAGCTGCCTCCGATGAAGGGTAACAGCTAAGTGTTCTCATAAACACCTCAATGGTCCGAGGTTCCCATGGTCTTTTTGCCTGCGCTTGGGTACTTTATGACGTCCATAAATCCATAATCCATCTAGGTGTACTGTCGTCAAAGTTTTCGACGATAACACAGATTTGAATCGTTTAAGAAGCGTATTATGAAACGTCAGTAGAAAATAGCTATTTACCTAACAAGTGCGGAAAATGAATTTTTCCGCAAGTGTTAGGTACAATATTTTTCCTACAGGCGAAAAAATGTAAAATTTTTCTTTTTTTTTTTGACATATCAGTGCGGTAAATTTTTTTCCGCACTGACAGCCGTGCGGAAAAACTTTTTCCGCACTGATATGTCAAAAAAAAAAGTTTTACCGCACCGTGCGGGAAAACTCATTTTCCGCACGCATATCAGTGCGGAAAATCGATTTTTCCGCACGGCTGTAGGAAAAATATATTTTCTACGAGCGTGCGGAAAAGTGTACTTTTTCGCACGCATTTTAGGTCATGAAAGTACCACTTTTCCGCACTAGTACTTTTTGGCTTTTTTTCGCACTGAGTGCGGAAAAGTAATTCCTGAAATTTTTAGGTATACAGGTACTTACAGGTTTACAGGTATACTACAGGTACAGGTACGAAAAAGTGAAAAAAATATCTTAAATTGATGAATATGTAGGTAAAAATATTAACTTTTATCTCGTAGAAAAAATAGTGTTCCTAACTCGTGCGGAAAGTCTCTTTTCCGCACTCGATTGCTTGCCGAACTCTGCTACGCGTCGTTCGGCAAACTGCAATCGCGTGCGGAAAAGTGATACTTTCCGCACTAGTTAGGAAATATACTATTACCAAATAAAAAAAAAACACTACCTATACCTAACATGAATTTGCAAAGCAGAAAAGTAACTTTTGAAAGAAAAATTTGTGTGACAAAATTCTGACAATTGAAGACCCTGATGCAAGAAGGGGATAAGTAACAATATGTAAATTTTTCAGGAGAAGCAAAAACCGTTTTTATTTCAAAATTAAATTTTATGTTGCTCATGAAGTATGGCCAAACTAGTACAACAGCTATATATGATTTAAACAGCATTTGACAGCCAAATAAGAATGCTATTAAGCAAAAAAAAGTTGCGGTGCAATAATGGGATAAGTTGCATTTAAACTATTTTCAGCAAAAAAGTAATTATTATTCAATGTGTATCAACCTCAGATGAATATAAACTGAAGTAATATGCTAATAATTTTAACATAAAGTCAAATGTTTCTCATGAGAATAGCCAACTATCTCTCTCTGCTAGAACTTGAAGCCAGGAACTCACTGCCGGAACTTTGAAATGGTTCATTCTCCTTACAGCCTGAGCTCATAATAATGTCCTATATTTCAAATAATAAAAAATAACGCAATATTTTAATGCACCGCACCCTTACTTAGGTACCAGGTTAACTTATTTTTACTGTCCAGAAAGCTGTCTCTGATCCAACGGTTTTTTGGTGACTACCTGACTGAGGTCGTATGCACACATACCTTACCTGATCATGCAATGGGACAAAATTTCCCACATATAAAAATAATACTAAATTTGGTGCAAGAACGGGATATGTTACACAAATCTTATCCCATTATTGCACCAGACCCTACCAGGGGATATGTGGTTTGCTATCATAATTCAGTATCTGTTAAGCGTACGTATCCCAAACTTGCATCAGGCAAGAAGAGCAACTTTTTAAACCTACATATGCAACTATCTCACTTTTGCAGATTTATGCACTTATCCCCTTCTTGCACCAGAGTCTTCAATTGACACAAAATCTCCATTTTCAAGCAGTCATTCACCAATGGTACAGGGTTTGTTTATAGCTGGAACACTCAGTAACTTTTCTATTATTGAAAATAGAGGTCATGTATAAATTGGATTTCTTGGTTAATTGCAAAGATCTTAATCGCTACAACGATATTTTTTTTGCGCCAAAGGTATACAGGGTGCGCCAAAAAAGTCATTTTTCTTAATGGATTGCCCTGTATGTTTTTGAATTTTTAAAATTCTAAAAAATTAGCTTCACAAAAATTTCACACACTATTTGGATAACAAAAATTCACAGGACGTTCCATTGAAAAAAAAATAGTTTTTTAACGCATCTTGTATACCTTTACCAAGAAATTTTCCAACTTGAACATGCACTCTATTTTCAATGATAAAAAAGTAATTGAGTCTCCCAGTTATACAAAAACACAAAGTCCCAGTACCAGATCTGAGATCAGAACTTTTGTCTCCAGTGACTTTACCTGTAACCGACTTGGCAATGGCGTCGAACACTCATCCCAGAATCCCAGCAGCACTAATATTACCAGCTTGTTGAAAAATCATTATCAGTATCTATCTAGGTATAATAATAAATAAATGTCGATTATTTAAAAATGTGTGTATATGTACAATATAATATGTTTAATAAAAAAAACCCATATTTTCTTTGTGTCCTACTTTGCTAAGGTCGTAGAGAAAATGTTGATCCTAACTCAGGCATAAAGTATTTTTCGCTCCGCGTCGTTCGGGTCAACGGCAGTCGCGTGCAGGAAAGTATAACGATAACGCGGTGAGTCGAATTTTGAGAAAAATTTCAGTCGATTTTTATTTGACAGGCGCTATTTGGCAACTGATTTAGGTAGACAGGCATTCGAAATCATACTTGCGGGTGTTTGTTCTATGTTCACACAAATTTTCATGCAAAACCCGATGAGTCGGTTTTTGCTTTTACAAAACCTTGTTAAACTTTTTTTTAATAATAAACGCAACCGATACGAGCAGGCAGGCACGCGATTTCGTATTTTTCATGATTGATTCTACATTTCCTAAATTTTTCAGCCATAATAAAATCAGCCGGATTTTTTTTCACTGGCTCTTGTACTATTATATTTTGACAAATCAAATGTCTCCGAAAGTAATGTCAATATACTTAAATTTGTGTTCTGGATCTGAAAGTTATAAAAAAATACTAAATCTACCCATTTTATAATGATGTGGATATTGTTACAGAAAATTAACTTATTTCTCTGTTTTCGAGTCTTGTGGCCCTTGGGGTAGCTATTGTTTTCTTAAATTGATTATTCGAAGCTCAAACAAATTTAACTTCAACATTACAATTTGATAAAGATTTATTCATTATTATTTGATATTCCCTGGTGTCTTTATGTTTAGGGTTTAAAAAAATTACTACTTATTCACTATAGACTTAAGTGTACCGGTAAGACTGATTTATTACAATTTAGAATAGGAAAATGGTTTATTGCCTATGCCTTTCCAAATCCCAGTTGTCACTTAATTTTTTATTTTAAATTTAACAAGAAAATATAGTAGTTTTTGCCGTTATTTTATTTTTTATTTATTTGTTTGCTTGTTTGTCTGTCTCATTTTTAGAGATATTTACTCTGAGTTTGATTCAACTTCATCAATATGCGCATTAAAATAATGCACTGCATAAAAAATGCAACAGTTCTAGAATGGGTTTTGTCGGGGTTGGAACAAATCCTCTCCTTGCTTGCTTGGAGAATTTGTTTTACAGAAATAGACAAAGGAGCTGTGTTTAATTAAACTATTTTAATAGTTCTCAATTCTTCAATTTCTCAGTCGATTTTGATAATTTCTGGATGCCCATTTAAATTTACAAAAGCTACCTTGGAACCTACCTTCCGTAAGGCGTAAATTCCTGCTGAAATACATAAATTCAAAAGCTTTTCAACAATAATATTTATTTTGTATAATAGCTATCTCAGCACCTTTAGATGCGGGTTTGAGGCCATTTTAACTAGAACCAAAATAGCATTTCTTAGCGATTCAATTTTTTTTGCGTATCATATTTGAAGAATTGAGAAAGTTTAAAGGATCCAAATTGCAAATAATTTTCAGAAATTTATATTTAGAGGCCTACAAGAAAATTATTTATTTGTATCACTCAGTTGCAGAGAACTAATGTCTTTAGTTCGAAGACTGAGAAAAAAAATTCTTAGGAATAATGACAGCGCTTTCTTTTTTTTTTTGGTGATTTCTTTTACAAATTAAACAAAACTTAGAAAAAATATCAATCATTCGCCCATTTCATAATATTTTGTGTGTCGTGTCATGTTTCTCAAGTATATTTGAATTGATTTTTATGTTTTTTTTTTTTTCGTGTTCTTTTTTTAAGTTTTTTTTTTGTGCGACTTTTTTAATTTGCGTTCAGTTAAGCTGAATAACACTGTTAGCTTATTATTTTTCTTACAATTTTTTGCATGAAAATTTTCATGTTTTATCTAAAATTAAATATCTCTCTGACGGACTTTTGCAAGAAAATTAATACGAAAACAGTCCTCCTATATTCAGTACGTCATTTTTTAACCGTCTTGCCCTTGTTATGTTGGAGCATGGAGATATGGTTGCCGAAACCAGTCAACAATAATTTCGAGAGGCATAATTTTTCATCAAACAATAAACCCACATTTTTCAACCCTCTGGATATCAATACATTTCCTGGCAGCGCAGGCCTGGCATTTTGGTAACGATAAGTCCTTCAAAATAATGCATAACTTAACGTTCCTTCTCACTCAATATATGGGGAATTACTTTGAAATATAAAATAAGTGAGTTTAACTTCGGGTAAGACTTTGTCATCGAAACTATCGTTAATGCATCGTTTCGGTTATTTTTATTTCCAATGACTACGAGAGTAGGGTTGAGACGGTTTCAAACTGAGGTACTCTTATTGTGTCGGTAATGGATCGATTCTGTTTCTAGAAGGTAAGTGTAGATGTTGCTTTAGATGTTAACAATTAAGATGGGTTCTAACACAGCCATTTAATTCAATTTAGGATTTAAGATAATTTAAAAGTCCGTCATATGGCATGGTAGACTTTTTAAATTTAATTATATTAAATTTTAAATTGGATTAAATGGCTGTTAGAACCCACTTTAAAAGAAACAATAATTCAAAAGCTCAAAATGACAGTATTTTGTTTTTAGGAAAGTTAAACGATGCAACAGCACCAGAATCGTCCAACAAGAAGGACGATGAAGAGGATAAAGATAACGCTATCAGCGATTACATTTACATCCAGAATATATTGCATCCAATGAAAGTCATGAAGGAGTCTTCAGTTTAAATTCATTTTATCTTCAAATTATTTTGAAGCAGGTTTACGTTATTTGGAAAAAAACTGGAAAGAATCTTAAGGAAAGAGTTTTAAATATTGTAATGTTTCTTTTAAAAGCATCTTTGTCTGGAATTTTATCAAGGTCTCTCTATGTTTACTAAATATTTATTAGGAAATCTAAGTATCGTTATAGATTACTCAGTACCTACCAATGTTATTCCATTAATTATTTGATCATCTATGTATTTTGTGCACTGTTTTGTGGACCTGTTGATTTACTATAACTATAAAATAAAACTAAAACGCGCATCTTATTTATATCCAAAAATTTATTTTTGTTTAGAAATCTTAATCTATTTAATCAAGACTCTGAATAATTGAACATGGATATATTTACCCATACAATAAAAATAATACATGTTTACATCCATAGTACTAGAATAATATGTGTATCCCAAATAATATGTATCCATCCCTGTGGTTTATATCAGAAATAATTAACGTACATGTACTCAGTACTCAGTAGCTTGATATAGGTGATGAATTAAAAAAAAAAAAATCTAAGTACCATGGTCGGTACTAATATGTATGGTTTTGCAACAATCGCAATTCAATTGGCGCAGTTTTGATCAACTGACTGCACAAAACAGATCAGATATAACCACTTAAAACCCACGGTAATTTTTATCAATAAACTAAATCTTTCATTTATATATGTGCCTTCTGATTGGTTAGAGTTGGTTTTTTAGTACCTTATAGATACGATACACTCAAATTAAATAAAAATTTATACCTACTTAATAAATGTTTGTGAATGTTTAGGGTATTTGTCCGTAAAATTAAGGCAGTATTCAATTATTGTTAAGCATATAACTGCAGTAAGTACTCAATTGTCTTTTTTTATTTTTTTAGATAATTTTATTTTTGTTATCCAAATAATGGAATATACCAGTTTTATGTAAACCAAGGTATGTGTATTTTTGTATTTTGTTTGGAAAAACAAATCTCATGGTAGTTCTAGGGCACAATTACTAATAGCTCCAAACGAAGCCGTATAAATAAAATCGCACATCGCAGCATTATTCTGATAATCCATCTCTGCAATTTTATATTCAGGATTGATGGATACTTTGATTTTATAATTTCCAGGCTCCAGATCAGATATGTCGACCCATTGACAGTCAACTGTGTGTTTGTATATATCGGAACAATTAACAGATATTCCTTGGTCACCGTAGTTGGCGCATGCGTATTTGGGCTCGATTCCAGGAAGGCATTGATTGTCTTCCAGGCAAAATGACGCTTTGTGACCTTCTGCTACCTTTTTGCCAGATAAATTGAAGACGTCGAAGGTGGCGAATACTTCCATGCTGTGATAATGCCTATTAGAAAATTTTAAATTATTACTAGATTTTTGAAATCCTACAGTTACTTACATATGGCACATATGCCACTCCCACAAGTGTTTGGGTATCACGGGTCGGAAATCTGCATTGCCTGCATTTAGTGCACGAGCTGTGAATCTTAACAATCTTCTAGTTTCCAAGTGCCAAGCGTCATTTTCCTTTTGAATTTGATAGGCAGATGAGGCAGCACAATTTTCTTCCATAGCGCATTGTAGAAAAAACATCGGTTGATCTTGAAGATACGCCGACCTTATGAGTTCATCGTAATCTAGATATTTTAAGAAGAGTTTCGTTTAATGATTTCACAAAATATATTTAAATGGAAGTTTTTGGTCTTTGTCTGCAATTTTTCTGAAACTTGAACTAATTTATTACGCAATTTATGTTTTGAAGGAACCAAAATTATTTAGAATTTTATGTTTCATATTTTTTTCTTCAACTTTATCATCGTCATCCTCAGCTCATCCTGTCTACTGCTGGACCAAAAGTCTTTCTCAAACTTTGCCAGTCTCTTCTATCGCGAGCAACCATTATCCAGTACCTAGCGATTCTCTCTATGTTTCCCATCCAACGAGTTGAATAAGTTCTTCTTTTTAAACAGAGAAGTTGAAGTTTAATTTTCGAAAAAACACAAGTGTTTAACTGAAGCTCCAAACACACTGCTTATAACTCATACGACTGGTCACAGCCACAGTCCACAATACGTGTGGTCTATTAAAGAATAGAGAAATCCAAGTTTTCAATCATTGAGTACTGGCGCTGATTGCATACCGGTTTCGAGCTTATTAGCTCTCATCAGTGCAATATAAACGAAAGCACATAAACTAAGCGAACGGGTTTACAGGACGTACCACGTACCAACGATAATAAGATACGTAAAAACATATTATGGCGGATGGCTCCATCTCTTTGATTTCTTGTCTTACAAAGGAAAAAAAAAGAAACAACTAGTTTGGATGAACAATGTATCGTGAACGTATTGTCGCGAAAATCTGGCGGAAGCGCCAGGGTGTACATAATTGGACAGCTGATTCGAGATTTTATGTTGCTCTTCGGCAAAAAAGGTCTATCGCGTTTATTCTGGATTCTACACGAATATATTGCGGATATATAAAGGCCGGTATTAGTAGTTTTAAGTTTGACTGTGATATGATTTAGATAGTGATTATTGTTAAGAGGTGTAAAGAGTTTAGTTGTTTGAGTTAATTATTGAAGTAATTAGTTTCAGAGTGTGTAGTTAGGTACGTGGAATAAATTATTGTTGTGTTAATTGGACTTTGATTTTGGAATAAACGGACCCAAGATTTCTGTCACGCAACCCAGAGTCGTGACATTGGTGTCAGAAGTGAGATATATAATTCGAGGACTGCAAAGTCAAATTTGATTGCAGAATAGTGCGCGGACATTAGTTTGAACACCATAGTGAACACTGGGACAGTTAGTCAGTGTAAGCAGTGACAATCACCAAAAGAGACTTAACCGATTGTGTAAATTACCCCGGAAGTGACTGTATACCTTAGCTGTATACCTTAGATCATATATATATGTTATTCACATATGGATACAGCAATCCCCTTTGAAATAACATACGTTCCTGTTTCCAACATGAAGACCTGCTTTTTTCCATTTATCTCTTTCATAGCCTCATGAATGATATAAATTTATCTCTCTTTTGTTTCACCGTCTGAGCATGCGCAGTTAGAAGTAATAACATACGTCTTCGCTAATTTACTCAATTTTCAACATTGCCAAATTGATTAATATTGTATAAGCTTTGATATTTCTTTACATTTCCCTTAATTATAAAATTGTTTGCTAGAAGCAAAATCACATAATGAAAATAGCATTTATTTAAGATTTCAAGCAATTCAAGACTCAAAAGTAAATAAATATCAATTATTTTATTGTAGTATTCTCATTGAAAAAATGATTTGGCAACATTGGCAACCCTCGCTTGATTGGCGATTGTATTGATTTCTGCGTTCTGCCATTTACTTTCGATATTTCGAATAGAGCAATATCAATATACATTCTTTAATTCAAAAGCCATTGCAATAGAGCAACTCTGCCAGTAAAAACGGAAGCAAAAAAAAAGGCAAACGTATCTAGAAAGACTTGGTAGATATATGTATATTTTATTCACTTATCAATCACTTGCATAGCATAATTGGAACACCGGCATATACAAGGGGGGGGGGGGGTAATGGGGGTAATTACCCCCCCCCCCCCCAGGATCGTTGCGATGGACGAAAAAAATGTACCCTATACCTACCTTACAAATAAATCTATTTTTTATATTTTTACTTTTCAGCAACTGGCCCTAACTTGTTTTCTAGTTTGCACAGTGTCTGCACTGCCCGCATACCATTTATAGCGAACTCTATTCAAAGGAATAGTGCACACTGAGTGTATTCGTATCTTTCTCTACTAGCTTGCATAAGAAAGAGATAAATACATTTTTTGTATTAATTCTACCAATAGAATTCGCTATAATTAAAAAATTTTAGGCGAATCTCATAGCAAATTCCGAGGGGTGAATAGCTGGCCCAAAATATGTACACCGGCTGCCAAATTCCACAATCTTTAAGGAAATTTGCTAAGATTGTGAGTGATTGTGTACGATTGTGAGTGATTGTGTACGATTGTGAATGATTGTGAATGATGGTGAGTGATTGTGTAAGGATTGTGAATAATTGTGAGCGATTGTGATTGTTTGTGTCACAATTGTGAGTGATTGTGAGTGATTGTGACTGATTATGTAAGGATTGTGAGTGATTGTGACTGATTATGTAAGGATTGTGAATGATTGTGTAAAGACTATGTATATTAATTGGGTTAGAAAAAACAACAAAATATCAAAACTACATTTTCTATAAACTATCACTTCCAGAGAAAAACTGACTACGCCACTGGAATCTACATAAAAAGATCTATAAGAATCTATTGTCACCCGAGTTGTCATCTGATCACTCAGAACTGAGATACCAAGGGCTGTCCCAAAATGCAACATTTTCAAGAGCACCGTGTATCTGAAAAACAAAAATGACAATTCTGTCGACGGCATCTTTTGTTTGGTAGAAAAGTAACCACCGTTCACAAAAACCGCATCCTCCTAACTCTAATATTACGTACAACCAAAATGGGACACCCTATACAGGGTGGCTCAGAGGAAACGCATGTTTTTCACGTAGGTACCTACAAGCATAACATTTGTAATTTTCAATTAGAGCTAAATGAAGTAATAATAGTGCGCTTTTCAATTAATGATGGAAAATAATGTCAGTCAAGTGTCACCCTGCTTTGTGGGCGCACGTCTTCAACCGCTCTTGAAAGTTGTGCATCACACTTGAAACATGAATTTTCTCTGCGCCCCCTATGGAATCGAAATTTTTAAAATATATACCGGGTGTTTGAATTTGAAAAATTCATCTTACGTAGTGACAGATAGTCTAGCGGCCTGGCCTGTCTAGGAAGCACAAAAAAAAAACCGAGGTATAACCAAATGGGACCTTCACCAATTGAAAAAGCCTATTTTTTTACGTAGAAAATGGAAATTGACGACACTCTCCATTGGTCGAGACCAAAGATATGGGCAAAAAACTGAAAAAAAAGCATATATTTTTTTTTTAACTTTAAACGCTCATAACTTTTTTTCTAGACAAGGTAGAACAAAGTTTTTTTTTAATTTTCATTCCCCTTCCAGTTTCCTATCTTTTGGTATGTATTTTATTGAAAAATAGTTGTAACCCATATTTGAAAAACTGTAATATTTAAAAAAAGTCAACTAATTGTCAAAAATTTTTTAAGCTCACCTTGCCATAACTTTCTTATGCAAGAAGCTATTCGCATTATTTTTTATTCAAAAACTGCGCAGTTTAATGGACTTTATTTTATCTCAATTAACATTTGGTCTATTTCTACAAATAAAACGAGTAGCAGCATTTAAGCGTCGGGGCACGTGCCTATGCGACACGCTAAAGGCGGGTTTTTTCCATTGCGAACGAGTCGAACGACGCGACACTTCGCTTGCTGCACCATTTCTTTCGAACCAATGGTATTATAAACTTTGGTTTGTGCTTTTGTAGTACTTAGAACTTGTATGTTTTTTTTTTATTCAAAATAATTCCAAATCCAGCTCGTTTTCTTCGGATACTAAATCGGGAACAGAAGGGCGATTAGAGCATTCCATTTTACATTTGCAATCTTCCATACAAAAAACGCCTTCTTTAATGCACAGTCATTTTTGATTCAGGAAATTTTTTTTATTGCAAAATATAGATACTATGTCTATCTATGCCTAATCTCTTCTGGAACTACAGGTTGACTCATCATTTTTGGCAAGAGAGAACTATTACTTTTTTCCCATCCAAACTTGATTAAATCTAATTGTGAAACCATATCAATATGGCTGTTCACCCAAATATGAACCTGGTAATACGACCTACAACAAAACGTTTCAAAATTCGTTAAAATTATAGGATTCCAGAAAAAAAAATTGTGGTTGGAAACGTCTATAAAAATCGTTCAAATATGTAGTTATTCACCTAAGTACATGCAAACCGAGATGCAATCTGAAGCTGTCTTCTGTTGGTGGCAACTCTTGAGCAGGTTGCCACCCGTCCCACAAGAACAAAAAAAGTTATCATACCTATTTCTAAACCTAAAAGGTGGCAGCCCTGGGGCGAAATTATATATTGCTTGTGTGTGTACTTCCTATTTACGCAAACTACGACAAAAATTTTACAAAATAATAACAAATAGTCTTAGATACTCACCCATATAAAACTAGTACTTTATAGGCATAGGTAAAAATGCTTGATATATACAGGGTGTCCCAGGGAAAACAGTCCACCCTGATTTACTGGATGCGGGATGAGAATCTGGAAAAACGCTCAGACACGTCGATTTTTGATTTGAGGGGGAACTATTTTTAACTTTTTTTCATCCCCGTAGCTTCAACCCCCTAGTTAGGGAAAGAACAACCCCCCAAATTTGAATAGGGGATAGGGGTCGTGACATGTCTTTTGTTAAAGGTCTCATCAAGTTCTTTATGGCCCTAGAAGTCCGTCTCATTATTTTCATCCGTAACGAAATGACAGGACAGTTTGTCAAAATCTTGGAAATACATTAGTTTAGTGGGAGTAAAAGCGATACTTACCTCCCTTAATAAAAATACTTGAAATTGAAGCTTTTTATTATTATTATTAATGAGGTGTACCCGAGAATTGTAAATTGTAGGTTTTTTTACAAGTATTTTTATTAAGGGA